TTGACTAGGTGAAAATTTATTGAGAAAATAATTCCCATTAATTTTTATGTAAATATAATGGTAATTCACGCACCGCAAACATAATAATTTACGAACAATCATCGTGCTAAATTTTGACTTTGAGAAAAAGATCTTGAAACATACCCCGATAAATTGTCACTACAAGAAATATGTCAACTTATGACCTTCTATCAGTGACCCTCGAAGAATTGGTCATAAATTTATGACCATTTTAGACCAATTGGTGAAAAGCTGTTCAGGGGGCTCCAAACCCTAAACCATTGCGACCATTTTGGTCAGAAAGGTCGTAATTTCCTTACACGAAATGGTCACAAAGCAAACAGTGCTAGTCCGCTGCCTTATTTCTAGTTGTTAACGACCAATATAGATGGTCATAGCCTTGTAGATTGTGGTGGGTTGTGATGACTAGGAGCCATCTCATCAGTTTTGCCTATGTGTCATGTCCATGTGGCAGTTTTTGCCCTAGGTTGTGAAGCAACCTATATTTCTATCATTCCCAAAATTCCCAAAAAAATCTCATAAATTCTTTGGGGCATATCTTCATCAAATATGTAAAAATCCTTCCTTGCCTAGTTCAAAACTAATTCAACAATATTCATTTTCCTATTATGTTCACAACGACACTTTATGAAGGAAGTGCTATTTATATATTCTTGATTGCCCTCGGAATTTTTGGTCACTCTTTCCTATCCAAATCATTACCGCATGACAAAATTCAGCTCCATTTGCCTAGCAAATCTTCCTCGGCAAATTTCCAAAGTTTTTGTCCACCTAGAAGCATTGTGAAGGAAGTACCTTTTTTATATATCTAAATGACATGAAATTTATACATTTCCTTCATATGCCCAAATTATCACCCTCCTCCAAATTGCAGCTCAGTCAAATCATCTATGTGAGCCCAGGTTCAATTTATATTTTATGGCCAAATTGGCACGTTGCAAAGCAAGTGTTATATATACCCCTCCTATTACCCTCAAACTTTTCGGGCACTCTTCCATACCCAAATCATTGCCACATGATAATATTTAGCTCAATTTTCCTAGTAAATCTTTCTCAGGAAATTTCCAAAGTTTCTACCTCGAGAGAAGCTTTGTGAAGTAAGTACTAGCTAGGCTTATCCAAATGATCTGAAAATTTACCAGCGCATGACCATACCTATGTAACTTACCTACACCAATTTTGAGCTCATTTCATTCATCCAATCTCTCTCACTAGTTTTCCCAAGTTTTTGTCCATAGAAGAGCATTGTGAAGGAAGTACTACTTTGGCATGTCAAAATGATATCAATTTTCTACAATGCTTTCCTATGCCCAAATAACCATCCTCCACCAAATTTCAGCTCAATCCATTCATTATTTTGAGCCCAGCTTCAACATTCATATTTTTGTCCAGTGTGGTACTTTGCAAAGCAAGTACCACCTAGGATCCTCCTTTTGAGCTGAAAATTTGTGAATACATTCTCCTTAGTATATGATCATCCTCGGCCAAAACTCACGCCCATTGGCCATGTGCATTTCCCGTACCGCTAATCAAACACGTGGCTGCTTATTCATGTTTGAGCATCGATCGGTCTCCTCGTGAGAATCTTATGTTGTGACTTTCTTCCTAGCACCTACCTGGGGAGTGCCCAACCCACTAGACATGCCTAGGCCGCCCAGAACACATGGAAACGCCACGGCCACGCGGTGACCACGCAGCGGGCATGCGAGTTTACGCGCTCTAGAGTTGGGGGCCTCGGCCACCGCCCAAACCTCGACGTATCGCCACCAAACCATGTATTTATGATTAAAGAGGTACTTATGTAACTAGAAATGATTTTTGTAAAAAATAAATAGCAAACTATGAGGCAGCTGCAGTTCAAATTTGACCCGCTTCCTACTGAATCGGCGGGAATTTGTCTTTTTCACCAGAGGTGGATCAAAATTTTTGACACCCAACCATTTTGTCAATTGTGCATTAAATATGGCCTAGTATTTTATAAAATTGATTAGGTCCAATTTTGCAACAAATATATGGTAGGTCCTTCACAAAAAAAACTCATTTCAGGCACTCGGAAAATGGAAAATGGTTTTTTCGACCAAAGAAAATGAAAACTTCCTTAGGCAACATTGTTTGACATTTCAATATGCACCCTTGTGCACAATATGAGATCATTTGAACAAACTATGCCATGAATGTGGCCATAAGATTGATCATTTGGCTTGAAAGCCATGAATCTTCACACTTGATAGCTCATTTCTGAGAACACTTTTTTAAAATAATTACTGTATTACAATTTTATTATTTTTCCTGGAAACTTGTTCACATATAATGACACAAATGCAAAGGTTTTCCAATTTTTTGATTTTTTTTTGAATTTTTTATGCCCGTTTCAAAATGCGGTCAAAACGGCGGGATTGACCGTTCCTAGCTAGTGGTTCAATATTGGAATTTTTTGGTGTTTCTATGATTAAATAGATACTTATGTACCTACAAATGATTTTTGGAAAAAATAAATAGCAAACTATGAGGCAGCTGCAATTCAAATTTGACCCGCTTCCAGCTAAATCGGCGGGAATTTGTCTTTTTCACCAGAGGTGGATCAAAACTTTTGACACCCAACCATTTTGTCAATTGTGCATTAATGTCCTAGTATTTTATAAAAATGATTTGGTACAATTTTGCAACAAATATATGGTAGGTCCTTCACAAAAAAACCTCATTTCGGGCACTCAAAAAATGGAAAATGAATTTTCCGTGCAAAGAAAATGAAAATCCCTTTGGCAACATTGTTTGGAATACCAAGATGCACTCTTGTGCACAATATGAGATCATTTGAACAAACTATGCCATGAATGTGGCCATAAGATTGATCGTTTGGGTTGAAATACATGAATCTTCACACATGATAGCTCATTTCTGAGAACACTTTTTTAAAATAATTACCGTATTACAAGTTTACTATTTTTCCTGGAAACTTGGTCACATATAATGACACAATGCGAAGGTTTTCCAATTTTTTGATTTTTTTTGAATTGTTTATGCCCGTTTCAAAATGCGGTCAAAACGGCTGACTTGACCGTTCCTAGCTAGTGGTTGAATCTTGGAATTTTTTTGGTGTTTCTTTGATTAAATAGATACTTATGTACCTAGAAATGATTTTTGGAAAAAATAAAGAGCAAACTATGAGACAGCTACAGTTCAAATTTGACCCGTTTCCACCTGAATTGACGGCAATTTGTCTTTTTCACCAGAGGTGGATCAAAACTTTTTTCACCCAACCATTTGGTCAATTGTGCATTATATATGTCCTAGTATTTTATAAAATTGATTTGGTCCATTTTTGCAACAATTATTTGGTAGGTCCTTCACAAAAAACCTCCTTTTGGGCACTCGAAAAATGGAAAATGATTTTTCCATGCAAAGAAAATGAAAACTTCCTTAGGCAACATTGTTTGGAATTCCAAGATGCACCCTTGTGCACAATATTAGATCATTTGAACAAACTATGCCATAAATATGGTCATAAGATTGATCATGTGGCTTGAAAGCCATGAATCTTCACGCATGATAGCTCATTTCTGAGAACACTTTTTTCAAATAATTACTGTATTACAAGTTTATTATTTTTCCTGGAAACTTGGTCATATATAATGACACAATGCGAAGGTTTTCCAATTTTTTGATTTTTTTGAATTTTTTATGCCCATTTCAAAATGCGGTCAAAACGGCGGGCTTGTCCGTCCCTAGCTAGTGGTTGAATCTTGGAATTTTTTTGGTGTTTCTATGATTAAATAGATACTTATGTACCTAGAAATGATTTTTGGAAAAAATAAATAGCGAACTATGAGGCAGCTGCAGTTCAAATTTGACCCGCTTCCAACTGAATCGGCGGGAATTTGTCTTTTTCACCAGAGGTGGATCAAAACTTTTGACACCCAACCATTTGGTCAATTGTGCATTAAATATGGCCTAGTATTTTAGAAAATTGATTTGGTATAATTTTGCAACAAATATATGTCCTTCACAAAAAAACTCATTTTGGACACTTTAAAAATGGAAAATGATTTAAAAAAACTAATTTCTCCTAACTCTTTTAAAAGATATTTGTCTTATTTCGATTTGTCATTATTCCTGAAAACTAAGGTCAAATTTGATGAAACATGAGAAGATATTTTATTTTTATTTTTATTTTTCAGATCATAAAATAGCCAATATGATTTAGCACCTTACTTTTAGTCGATTACGACCAATTTAGATGGTCAAAAAAATGTAGTACTGGTATACTGCGTTCTGATTGGTCCAGGAGCATCTCACGCGGATCTTGCCTAATCACCGTCGGATGCTCCTGGATCCAACGGCCCGCCTATCTCACCCACGTCGCCCAACCCACAACCCGCACTCCCTCCCACGCACCCAACCGCACCCAAACCCCTCGTGCCCACTCGCCTCTCTCTCTCGAACCCTAGCGCTCCACTCCTCCCTGGCCGCCGCCACCTCCGGCGCCCTCTGTCCGGCGAGATCCATATGGATCGATCCCCTCCAATCCGCACCACCTCCGGCGCCCTCTGTCCGGTGAGATTCATATGGATCGATCCCCTCCAACCCTCCAACCCACGACTCCTCCTCCTCTCCTCCTCTCTAGATCTCTGGATTGACCCAACCGCTTCTCCCCTAATCCCGGCCTCCTCCATGCCGAGCCGAGAGACACTCCCCACTTCCAGCTGAAACCCTAGCCTGAGACCCCTTCCTCCTCGATGGCCAACCCCTCCATGGCGGCCGGCGACAGGGTGCCCTTGGCGGAGGGGGTCCGTGCCGTCGGAGCCCAGATCCGCAACCGCATCCGCGTGGCGCCCATCGACCGCGTGGCTGCGGCCCTGGCGACGCGATGGTAGCGTCGGCCCTAGTAGCGTTGGAGGCGGCGAGCCAGTCCCTGAGAAACCGCGAGATCCTCGGCGCCGTGGGCACCACCGCGGCGGCGCTAAGCACCACCGATGCCGATGGGGTCCAATGAGGCGGACAAGCCGCTGCGGCGGATCGATGCGTCGTTCGAGCAGCTCGCGGCCGTCGCCAAGCCACAGCAGCAGCCCGCGATGGCGGCGGGGGACTTCTCGTGTGCCTTCTCCAACGTCTCCGTCCTCTTTGGCTGCCTCGGCATCGCCTTCAAATTTGCCTTGATGGACTATGTCGCCAAGGCAAGCGGCCGCTCCTCAGCCCCCCTCTCCTCCCCCGCTACCTGCTCTGCTGTTCGGTATGCTACTTCATTGTGCTTGTACTGTATGTGGTAAAATTTCTGGTGATTCCTTCCCGGGACATTGATTTAGTTGTGTGAAGCTGAGAGGTTTGGGATGAAATGACCATTGCTTATTCAATCAATAAATTCTTCAGTGTTCTTGGCTTCTTAGTACATGCACATTGAGTACATGCACATTCACATTTATTGTATCTGAATTGTATCAACTTCCAGTTAGCTAATTACTAAAATCATGTGCACATAACTATGTGAATTTGATGTTCAACCATTACATGTGATAACTAGGAAGCATATTTTTATCAGTGGACTGCTATTTCTTTTCTTGCTTCTGTTTGCAAAATTAGGTGATCATGGTAGCCTTGTTTTCTTTATTGTTAAAAAAAGTACTAGGCTGCAGTTTTTTAGTGTGTCATCTTTATATGTGTCTTTCGAGTGAACAAACTATGCTAAAGGTAGATCAGGACTTTCATCTGAAGTGGAATTCTATCTTGGGTCTGATCTTTTGAATGAAAAGTTTTAGTTAGAAATACACTGCTTTCTAGCTGAAGGGGTGTATAGCTGTGTTGTATGACGTTGTTAGTTTTTGATGTACAAAAATTTGGTAGGTATCTAGGCTGATGATTGTTGGGACTCTATAGTTATTGAATGGATTTGCTAGCAACAAGGTGCCAGGCACAATTTACTGGTTATGAGAAGACTATAGTTGTGTTATTGTGATATTCAATTTATAGAATTGACTATGTTCTGTTTTTGCTTCAGGTAAACGAAGGTTTTGCTCATGGCTCGTACTAAGGAGACTGCTCGTAAGTCCACTGGAGGAAAGGCTCCTAGGAAGCAGCTAGCCACCAAGGTTTGTGACTGCAATATTAATAGTTTACCTATGCCATGTATTTATTTATGGTTTAGGTAAATTGAACTGGGTATAATTTGAACCTCAACCTTCATTGCTAGCTTATGACCAGATATCCTACTGATGTATATGGACTATCATGGTATTATTGTTAATTTGACCATGTGCTCTACTTTGCTTTTTGACAGGCTGCCCATAAGTCTGCTCCCACAACTGGAGGAGTGAAGAAGCCTCACCGTTACCGCCCTGGAACTGTTGCTCTTCGGTGTGTAAAATCTTCCAACCTATTCTAGCGTGTGTTATAGTTTTGTTTTGAAGTATTCTCAAATGAGTAAATTTTGTGCTTGACTTTGCAGTGAGATCCGCAAGTACCAAAAGAGCACGGAGCTGCTCATCAGGAAGCTTCCATTCCAGAGGCTTGTTAGGGAGATTGCCCAGGACTTCAAGGTGATCAATCAACTTGTGCACTACATTGTGATGCTCCTGTTGTGTCAACTCTTATAGTATGATGAATTAAGTAAACTAAAAGCACCATCATGTTCTGTCTGTGCAGACTGACCTCCGCTTCCAGAGCCATGCGGTGCTGGCCCTTCAGGAGGCTGCAAAGGCCTACCTGGTGGGTCTCTTCGAGGATCCGTGGCGAGAGGGCTTAAGGTGCTTGCTTTGCCTGTGGGAATGTATCTGGCGGGCATCTGTGTCTGCTTTTGCTGCTGTTTTTAGTGATTGTTTGGAACTTCTAGCTCTAATTTAACTTACTTCTCGTTCCCCTGTTTCTGCTGTCAGTATTCCCATGGCAATTTAGGTAACTATAGTAATACTGTACAAGAAACATCATTGCATTACAAGTTGGGTTTGAATCTACTTGTGAGCAACTGGGTGCGCCCATTCTAGAAATATGATATGTAGATTTGCTTCACAGAACAGATGATGATGCACGTATTTGGAACAGTCCAGTCCATTCTCACAACCAATTAAGTCCAGAGCTCACACCTCTCTGTTGATGATGCATGTACATTCCAGTTAAAGAATAACACAGGATTAATTAATTCTTGGGCTCTTCTAGCCGTGCTTCTTACTCTAGGTTCCAAGTAGAGATTCCTATATACGTATACTTGCTTTGCTGCCGATTCCTGACTCTGTCTGTCTGTTTTGGAACTGTAAAATGCAGTGATGCCAAACATCGCCTCTGCTTCAACTGATTAATTTTCTGCGTGCCAAACAGAGCCTGTGATATTATCAAAATATTTGCTACTCTTAATGGGTTTATCCCACTTGATGATATTAACCACCTAGATCTCTGAGACTCTTATTTCTAGTCTAATGTTATCAGCACAGTACATCCGATGTTTGCATGATAGATACATATATGTGACATCAATTTGTCGTTGGATATTGCTGGAAAGTAGCTATGTCACATCAATTTCTTGGTTGTCTAGTTTGTTATGTCACATCAATTATATGCTTTTTCTGAGATTGTGTTTTAGCTACTGCCACATTGAGCTGTTGTAGATTTTAGTTATCAATTACAACAAAGCATTCTTACATTCCAGACTTGATCTTACTACTAAATAGCACCCCCTGTTGTTGTTGTTGTTATTCACCCTATCCTTGATGTTCTGTTTTCTTGTTGGCAGATATTTTGAGTAAATTCAAGACGAAAGATGTTCAAAGAAGCTCCAAGACATTCTTATATAGCAAGTTATGTAATAATAGATGGGTTATCTGGGAATTTAATGTATCTTCTCTCTGTTTGTGAATGAAATAGTAATTATGTATGTGATTTAATGTATCTTCTCTCTGTGAATTTCATGTATGTTTCAGAATTACAATTCCTGTTTCATATGAAATAGTAATTATGTATGTGATTTGAAAATGTGTGCAATGAAAACATGACTCATGCGACCCACTTATCAAAATAGTTTGAGCACATTTGAAATTTCTGACGTGTGGGACCAGTGTATGATATTATGATATTTGGGACAAATGTAAAACAGTGGAAAATAAAATAGCAAAAAGTAAAAGATCATACGCTGTAAAAGGCCGCATCTAGAAATAAAAAGGCCAAATTGTTTGGCCAGGCCCATGTAGCTAGAGAAAATATATAGTAAAAAGGCCGAATTGTTGGGCTAGGCCCATGTAGAAAACCGAATTGGACCGGGCTGAATCTTGTGCCACATCAGCTTGCCACGCTGGATGCCTACGTGGTCTGGGGAGGTTGCTAATGACCAAAACGCCACAGTAGACGTATTTTGGTCATAAACGTCTTCGACCATTCCATAAGAAAGGTTGCTAATATCAGTTTATGACGGCCAGCTTTTGACCTTATGTTTTTGGTTACAGAAAGGTCACAAATGAAAATTTGTGACCATTCAGTGACCAATAGTGGTGGTCACAAGTTGACATATTTCTTGTAGTGTGTGTGTAAATAACACAATAATATACGCACCACATAATACTCGTACAAACACCACAGTAATTTTTGACTCAGGGAAAAAGTTGTTAAAAACATTTCCCGTATAACCTTTGTGTAAATAGTATGATAATTTACTGATGCAGATCTGATAACTTGTGTATGAACATCATGCTAACTTTTATGATATGGGGGTGAAAAAATTGTTGAAAACATACACGCAGTACCTTCTATGTACCTAGCATGATGATTTACACACCGCAAACATGATAACTTTGGTACAAAACACCATAGTAAATTTGTCCAAGTGAATTTTTTTTATGAACACATGATAACCCCTGTCTAAATAACATGATAATTTATTCATCACAGATCTAATTACTTACGTACAAACACCATGGTAACATTGACCTGGAGGGGGTGTTGAAAAATACACCCCCGATAACTTATCTGCAAATATCATGGTAATATACGAAGCCCATACCTGATAAATTTAAGTAAAAACAGAGAAAAAGCTATTGAGAAACATACCCCAAAAACTTGAGTGAGAAAAGCATGGCAACATTAGAACTTTGTACCTGATAACTTACGTGCAAACATCATGATATTTTACATCTTAAAAGGAGTGAAGAGGACGCCTGGGTTTGTGAACCATGTGAGACGTGTAGAAAAAATGATAGAATTAGGGTACATTGTTCTGAAACCCGTACAAATGAGGCTGCCGGTTTGGATTTTCAGTTACTAATCACTACCTTTTTTGTTTATTCTTGTTTCAGGAAGATATAACTAGTGTGTAAGTTGTATGGAGTCAGATAAGTGGGCTAGCGCAACTGGATGTTGTAGCTTAGTTTCGTTTGAGAGGGCCTGGGTTCGATTCCCTTTCAATGCCTTCTTTCTTTTTGCCTATAAAAACTGAAGAAGATGGGATCCAAGGAGGGTGGTTGCTCGGGAGGAGGTCGGATCGAAGGGAGAAGAGTCATGTGGTACTTTTAGCAATGTGGCACACGTGTGTCAAATATCATAGTCTTTTTTAAAAAACACAATCATTATTTTTGGTGCGGGGAGAAAGTTTAAAATCCATGAAGATTTTTTAAAATGAAAAAATATAATTAAAATTCATGGATAGTTTTAGAAAAACATGAATAAACTTTAAATTCGCTATTCTTATAAATTTAAGAACATTCTTTTAGTTTACGAACATTTTCTATATTTCTTAAGAAAAACATGTTTTAATCTTTCAATTACATGTTCCTATAGTCATTTTTTATACAATACAGGAAAAAGAAAAATATATTGGTACAGTGTCAACCATCGAAGTGGGCCGACTTAGTGTACGATTGCCCGCCCAAATGTCATAATGAATGAACTTCAGTACTAGTAAGGTACACGTGCATTGCACACATGAGATTTGACAACCAAATTATGAATAAATACCACACTATAGCATATAAGCTTTGAGTCATATAGGCATGATGTAGATGTTCATCACATTTATAAATACTGGCATCGTTCATCACATTTCAGATGCCAACAGGCCGCCGCACAAATGGGATATGGCTCTGCCTCATGTCACGGTTCCTCCCCTGTTATTCCCGTACGAAACTACAACGGCTCTAGATTAGACGCTTAGAAGGTTGGAGATGTGGACATGTTGGGAAGCGGATGGCAAGACAGGATGGAATTTTTGCTCGTGTGATTATAAAGGGGAATAAAACTTGGGCGACAGAGACAGCGCTGAATTGGTAGATTATCAGGTAGGGCGGCAAAGTATATGTATCATGATGGTACATTTGTTCGGACGGGGTAGCGCAGGCAAGGCTGGGA